TTTCTCTAACCCTAACGGAGATGTTTCTAGAAATAGTTTAAAACTATTGAAGTGGATCAGGGGGAGCAGAAAAAGAACAGAGACACACAGATTTTCTCCTAAGCCTCTTCATATTGCAAAAGTGGAAACTGCTTCTCAGTCAACTGAACGGAGAAAGAAACCATGTCTTTTTCAAGACTAGAGGGCATGTAGGAAGCTGGCCCCTGGGATTGGTTTCTGAGGATTGCTCCCTGTTAGTGACAACACTGACAATCCCCCAGTTCTGGGGGGTTGCGGGGTGAGCACAGAAATAAATCCACCTAAGCGCTGAGGGACAGGAAAGCGTCTGAGAGCAGCCTTCCCCCGGCTTTGCTGAGTGCCTTTTGACCTTTCCTGTCTTAACACGGTGGATAGAGTCCCTGAAGAACAGGCCCAGGAGTCAATCCGGAAACTTGGAGGAGGAAGCCAGCTTAACTTCACTCGGGAGATTTAGTGAACTCTAAATTTAAAGATTCTTTTAATCCAGCTGTTTTAGGAAAAGCTCTGTAAAGGCTGAAAGGTGAAACAAAAAATAAGTTAAAATCTACGAAGGGAAAATAAAGATGTTAAACATTTGGCAGAGAAGCTGACATCTCTGGCATATGTCTACAACTGGTAAAGGAGGTTGTGAAGACAGAATGAGCTCAAGCAAGAAAACGTAGCCATGACCTCGGGTGTGTGAGCCTCAGGCGTTCTCCACAGCCAGCTTGACCAACGGAACAAACCAGGCTTCACCTAGGAGAGAGGCTGGGGAGACTGGGAAATCTCGTCTTTAAATGTGTGTCTCTGGCCTTCTTTCTTTTCTGCAATCCATTTCCCTTAAACCAGAACCCAGTGAGCTGATGTGAGCAATTTCAATAAAAAACAGAGAAATAGTGACCCCCAAAGTGCAATAAACTAGAAACTACATGCCACCAGCCAGGAGAAAACAATTAGGGACGAAGACAAAGAATGGCTTACCAAAATGCAGGTGGCAGTTTAGTCATAAAAAGAGCAATACATTTTTTTATTTCACTTAAGACTGAAGATATATATATGTAGCAATACTCCATTGGCCTCTAAAAGTCCAAGTCTTGCCTGCAGGAGCTGCCTTCCAGACTTATCCTCAAATAGCCTGCAAATCTGTAGTTTAGTGCAGGGTTGAGACATTGCCCTCCCCGAGAGCTCTTCTGTAAGAGCAGCCCCGTTCCTGTTTTTGTAAAGCCTCCCCAGGCTGTGGGAACAGTGGAAGCAGCAGCTACAAGCTGGAATTTGGGAAAGGAACTCTTTTAACTGTGAATCCAAGTAAGTGTGAAAGGAGTTAGGGAAGGAGGATGCCAACACTTCTCCAAGACACCCCAGCTCAGCTTCTAAATCTGAAATTTATATTAGGGGGACACGATCCCCATCAGAATCCCATTGTACAAAGAATCGATTACCTTCAGCCAAAAGCATTCCAATCATTCATCTTAAATGGAATTATCGGTTCAGGGAAGAAAATCGAATATAGGATCTAAAGGGATTCAGCTAAGACCAGGAAGTGTTTGCAAAAAGACAGAGAGAAAATTGGCATGTTGTGATGATGCAGATTTAGATACTAAATATAAACTTCTCTGATGTAGGTAAAGGGGACCCTGTGATTTCATTAACTAGTGATCGAAATTCTATAGCCAGATTTCCTCTTTTACCCTCATTTTCATCCTCTTAAAGGAATTGTTCTCACTTCCTACTGAGTAACTAGGATGTCTATGGGAGAGGTTGGTTAACTCAGAACATTCAACCCCCTTTGTTTCCATTAAACAAAATTAATGATTCAGCTTCCATTTACTTCACTTGAGACTAGGAAGGACTCTGTCTGTCTGTCCTCTGAGCCATGAGAACCGAGCCATGCTGAAGCAGTTAGAAATTATAAAAGTCAACGCTGTGGTTGCTATCGACACTTTTGTGTGTGTGTGTGTGTGTGTCTTTTTGTTTTGTTTTGTTTTTTAGGCAGGGTCTCCCCGTAGCCCCAGCTGTCCTGGAACTCACTATGTAGACCAGGCTGGCCTTGAACTCATAGAGATCTGCCTGCCT